CAGGATTGTCACATAGCAGTTGCTGAAATACCAGGGTAGGTTGACTGTGACGAAGGAGAGAATTGAAAAAACTTTCCAATCTATTTCTTCTTTAATTTCTTCTCTATCCTTTCATGTTTGTGGACTGCCTTTTTAGGCTATTGAAATTCTGGATGCTTAAATATATATGCCATATTGGGTAAAGGGGCAAGTATTTAAAAATAAATAGGTGCCAGAAGCAACCAAACTCAACTTCTGAGTATTTTTTTAAAGGAAACCAATTATTTTAAATGCTTTTGATTACATTTAGAGGCTATATATATATGCTAGATACAGCAGACCCTTAAATAGGCTTGCACATAGAGTGAAGAAATGCTACTGAGCATTATGCCGAAACTTCCAGGTTGTAAACAGGAGAAGATGGTGTCTCCACACTGTAGATCCATAGTCTCAATGTCACCCTCTGGGTGAGAATCTTGGATGGATTATTACAAGAATGGTTTGTAAGCTCTTGGCAAGGAAGGCAGCTTGGGCTCACTAAGCTAGAGTAAGTGAGTGAATGAATGAATGGTGGTTTCTTTTTATGGAAGGGATATGTTTCTTAAGACCTCATATAATTTAATACTTGCATAAATCAAGACTAATTCCCCCATAGGAATAAAGTAGGATTCACATTATTTGAAGTTTTGTATAATAAGTGAAATTTTATTATTCTTTTTTCTCTTTATTCTTTATTCTCTTATTTCACATTTGCAAAACTCATATTAATAGAGTGTGACTTTATTTCCTTTCTTATAAAGAAAGACTAGAGACTTACACCTGGAGATCAAGGATGTATTTGACAAAATACAAAACTTTTGATTGGATGAAGAAATGTAGGCTACATCTTCAGAAAACCTGATGCATGCATAACTAGTTGAATGGCCACAAAGGATGCTGACTGAGATGACAGTTGACCTACAAGGGGGTCTCAAGAGCCACGCCACCTGGCTCTAGCTTTGTCCTAATCAATATATTATACAAAAGACATCTTCAAACATGTGATTGAATGATACTTGGAGGGCTTTGGATGACAAAATCCAGACCCTCACACCCCCACCCTACTGCCAGTCTGAACTGGCTTAGAACAATGGATTAAATCTAAGGAGGGAAGATTTAATAGAGATAAATATAATGTCCTTTGCTGCTATCCAAAATGAGTATCTGGAGAAGCAAGCCATTAACTAGTACTTAGTTGTTTTAGTTAATAGTAAGTTCAATGCAAATCAGTGGTTTGGTTACATTAACAGAAATAGAGACTCTAGAATGGAAGAGGTGATAGTTTCTCATCGCCAAACTGTATCTGGAGTTCTATAACCAGTTCTCAGTTCTGAGCTCAAGCTGGAACATATCCAGAAGAGAGAAACAGTAGGCAAAAATTGGAATATTTATTCTAGAAAAGACTTAGGGAAGAAATTATTGTTGTTTTCAAACAAATAAATGATTGCCATGTATGAGATGATTTAGGTTTGCATTTTTGTGGCCTTTTAGGCCAGCCTAAGAAGCTTCAGGTAAAAGTTTTAGGGAGTAGGATTTTGTGTCACTATAAGGACAATTAGAAGTATTGGAATATGAAAGAACCTCTGAGGGCAGGTGATGTGTTTGGTCATCCTGACACTATTTAATGGCTAATTGGGAGAAACTGTCACTTCCTCCATTCTAGATCCTCTATTTCTCTTTCTTTCCCTTCCTTCCATTTCTCCCCCCTTCCTTCCTTCCTTCCTTCCTTCCTTCCTTCCTTCCTTCCTTCCTTCCTTCCTTCCTTCCTTCCTTCCTTTTTCTTTCTCCTTCCTTCTCTCTCTCTCTTTCTTTCTTTCTTTCCTTTCTCCTTCCTTCCTTCCTTCCTTCCTTCCTTCCTTCCTTCCTTCCTTCCTTCTTTCTTTCTTTCTTTCTTTCTTTCTTTCTTTCTTTCTTTCTTTCTTTCTTTCTTTCTTTCTTTCGATATGGTCTCACTCAGTCACCCAGGTTGGAGTACAATGACACGATCATAGCTCAACACAGACTCAAACTCCTGTGCTCAAGCCATTTTTCTGCCTCAGCCTCCCAAGTAGCTGGTACTACAGGAGCATACTATCAAGCCTGGCTAATTTTTATTTTTTATTTTTGTAGAGATGGGGTCTTACTACATTGCCTGGGCTGGTCTTGAACTCTTCACTTCAAGTGATCCTCCCACCTCAGTCTCCCAAAGTGCTAGGATTACAGGCATGAGCCACCGTGCCTGGCCTAGATCTTCAATTTCTATTAATGTAACCAAACCACTGATTCACATTGAACTTGTAGGAAAAAGTTTATGAATCTGATTTCTCTCTTTTGTGAGAGTCAGTTACAGATGATTCAGAAAAAAGAAAATAATTAATAGTCGGTAAATATATGGAAGGTAATGTAACTTTGCTAGAAATGAAAATGGCAACAAAGTACTATTTTTGTCTGCTAACAAAAATTAAAGGAAAATCATATCCAATACTGGTGAGAGTGTAATGAAATTGGGGTTTGCATTCATTGCTGCTAGCACTGATGTCGTTTGGAAAGCCTGTGTATAAACAACTACACTATTGATCATACTTTTGTGTCAATAGTCCAATTGGCTATGTAACTAAAAGAAACTATGTAATGTTGAAGCTATGTAAATTGCCACATGCCTGAAGACGTTCATTGTAGTATTTCTGCATTGCAGTATTATTATAATAGAGAAACTAGAAGCAACCTGAACATGGAAAGGTAAGGTAACAGCTGAAGATGGCAGGCCACCCAGTGGATGGCATGTGTGTGTTGGGAATTGCCAGCTATGAAATTCTACAGATCTGATGAAAACAATTACATACCAAATAGATGGATGTGACAATAAGACAGAAAATTTTCCTCTCTTTTAAGTCCAGCTGTGTGACTAGCTAGCTGTGTTACCCTGAGCAAATCCCTTAACTTCCCTGTGCCTCAGCTGCCTGGTCCCTCAAATGGGGAGTTTGGATCCAATGTTCTCTCACATCCATTCCAGTATGAAGATGTGAATAGAATGGACTCATTTAATGAAGAAACAGTATCAGCCAAGTATCTCGTTTTCAGACTTCACCACCATGCTTCACTTTCTCCATGTTATATATATTTAGAAGTCAGTTTGAAATATGTAGCAGATGAGAAAATAGAATTCTGGGTCCCTCTCAAATAAATCGTTGTATTTGAGGGAGATTTAGCCATATATACTCCAAAAGTACTTTATTATAAGGCAAAATAAAATAGTTCTTGAGTCACGAAGGATATTTTATCCAAAAATGCCCAATAATGATTTCAAATGTAGGTACTAGTTCTATGAGCATTATTAAAAAACACAACAACACACTGTCCTAGAAAGGTTTAGTCACACAAAACAAAGGGGCAAACATTTAATAAACTAATTTATTCAATTGTCCTTGAGTCTTTTTTTAAAAGTGTCCTTATCCAGCTCCCCTTTTGTATTCGTATCAATGAAAAAAAAAAAAAAAGGTCAAAACACTTACGTTGTGCACACATAGGACCATTTATTTTCTAGGGGATCTGGAAGCAGGGTGAGAAAACATGAGCTTTCAGCTCATAAACAAAATGGTACCAGACTCCCTCTGAACATGCCCTCATCTTTTTGGAACTTTCTAGGAGGATGGTGACTTTTTAGTTCAGACTTTAATTCAGGAGCAGCAGTGAAGAGGAAAGGGAAGTTGCTCAGGGCAACAGCACCCCTGCCCTTTACCCACCATGCCCCAGCATCGATGCCCCAAATGGCCTTTGCAGTCCCTGAGATACCTCAGGGGGAATGTCCCTTCTCTGAGAATTTATAGGACTTTGACAGGGTTCCTCAGGTACTCCGACCATCTGCAGTGGTGTCTCTCCTCCAGCTCCCTTGAGAATCACTGACTGAAAACGGTTGTGTGTATGTGCTGTTTTAGGAAGGCCACATCTTATATTCGGCCTCAAGCATTACCCACTTTGGCCAATTGCCCAACTCATCAGATTTGGTTGCTTCTGAATGATTTTGGCTCTTCCTCCCAATTAAGTCTCCTCCAATATTGATTTGTCCTCTGGGAGGTCACACCGCAGCCTTGAAGGTGACCCCGACGGTGGGAATGGATAGGCAGCGACCGGGCTGAACATAGAGGATGCTCAGGTGCCCACTTCGAGAACCCTCACTGGGAGGAATTTATCCCAGTGTGACCAGAGCGGACGGGCCCGTGACCTTACAGTGACACCATGACCACTGGGGGACAGGAGCATCCTTGTGAACAAAGACACCGGTGGATGTGGGGGCCCAGCAAAAGGGAGGTGGCTGAGGCCAACTCTGTTTGGGTTACTGCTGCCGGTGGGACCTGCGGGCAGGGGACCCTAAAAACCAAGACCGTCACAAAACGGACCAGAAAACTCTTGAGAACATCATCTTTCTGCTCCTCCCGCATGGTGAGTTCTGTCTTGTGGTCTTTGCCTTTATTCCCACTCCCCTCTTTCTCATTAGCACCTTGTTGGCGCTTGGGGCGTGTGTGCGCATGCTCACACATGCGCAGTAGGCTGAGATAGGCATTTGCGCGGTGATGGAATATAGATCCTGGAAGATGAAGATCTTAGGGCTAGGAATGTCATCAAAAGAAACCTTCAGAACCCGGGATAAATTGGCAGGCTACGAATTCAGTTTGTTGTTTGACAACTTCCAAATAAAAGGCAAACTTCATCTTAACCACAAGTCCTGGAGCCCGTTCGTGTTCCAGGTCTTTACCCCACAGCTGGAACTCTTGAGGCCCGCGGGCGAGCCCAGCCTCTGAACGCACATTTGCGTATTTGCAGAGAAGTGTGTTATTTTCCACCAACGTGAAAGCATGCACGAGGATGGGTACGGTAAATGCAGCTGAGACCCTACAACCAGACTATCAAAAAGCTGCACACACACATCCTACTGCAGGTAAGAAAGAGAAATTATTTTACTACCCGGCATTTGCATATGGAGACACACACAATACCACGTGGTGTTTTTCAATTGATGCAACTCAGTAATTTTTATTGCAACTGGAAGACAATACATCACAGAAACTTTATGGTAGGTCTGGGGAAAAGTGTTATTTACAATAAATGATGAGATAGTTTGTCTTTGGCAATATGATTACATACGAAGAATGCAAAATGCAAGTAAGGATGCTTCCAAAGCAACACCATCAGGTTTGGCTGATTGCGCCTGCCTCCACAATTGTTCCTCTAGGTCAACACAAACATAACTGAACATCACTTTCTTTCTCCTTTATGGTTCTCCCTTTCTATTCATGATATTGGCAGTTTCATACAGAAAATACAGAAAAAAAAATTGGCTTTTGAAAAATTATTACTCTCAGAAATAAATTTGGCCATGTATGTCTATTGGCCGGCAAAGGTCAGACGACCCTAAGCATCAATAGTAAACCTCTTGGTCTTCTGATTGCTTTATCACTGTTTTTGTTTTTTTTTTCTGCAAAACACAAACAAAACTCAAGAAATGTTACAGAATCAGAGTATTAAAAAATGTACAAGTGTATATGCTTCCCAGACACACATGGATACTTTTTTCCTCCACATTTTCACCATGGCAGTATAAGTAGTGAGTGTGAATGACACAGCATGAAGCTGGTTACTGAATCAGCTGTGAGCTCAGATGGCCTCAACACAGATACTCAAGAAACGTTGCATGTTTCAGTAACTGAAAGTGTGCTATGTTTCATCTAAAGAAAAGGCGGGGAGGGGCTGGGGAACTCAGGCCACAGTCATGAAAGGATGAAATACAATTTCTGGGTTTGATAGGCTCACCATATCGAAGTCTTTTGAGAATCCAATATGGAATATCAATTATTTGCAAAAGGCAGAGAAGGCTGTTCTCAACTCTTGCAAAACGGAATACAGCGGAAAAACACAGTTGTATATATTCCAAATAAATAGTCTCGATTTCAATGCTAACAAAGCAGGAAGGGTACTTGTGAGCATCTCACAGTCAAGTCAGAAACGATCTTTCACGTGGGTCTGATTTCAGAAATAACAACAGCAAGATGCAGCACCATAGACACATCGGTTTCGGCCGTTAAAAGATGGATCGGTTTAAAAATTGTGTTTTCCTTCCTTAATTTTTGGTCAGTGAAGCTAGCACTTGTTTGCTGAACTGTGGAAGAATTGCAAGGTCACACACATTATTCATGATAAAGCAACTGAGCTGACGAGTCTGTGCTTAATTCAAGAATAACCAGTAGGAGAGAGAGAAAACACAAGGAGCTAACCACCATCGCTGGTGCTCTCTCAAAGAGGGGTGAATGGGTGAATTCACAAAGGTAGGCAGATCTATACAGAACACTGAATGCCATGTGTAAATCCTCATGAAACTTCAGAAACAGGAACACCACACAATGTATATACTTTGATTTACACATTCCATTACAAAGAAAAAAAAAAAGACACCATTACAACTTGGTAACTGTGTTAACTGCAATATAAACCAAAGTCCAGAGTTTGGCAGGTAACTAAAAGAGGGTTATCACTTAGGTTATATAGCAAAAGTGTTGATGTATATTATATATAGTAGTATAAATAATAAAAAAGTATTATTTAAATTAGATCACAGTGCTGCATTATGTGCATAACAGTGTTTGATATAGTATTGGTGGGCTGGGACCTACGACACCAAGGACTTAACTGTCAACACTGGTAAGTCACAATCAAGAGGGGACACAGAGTTCCAATGTTTGCTTTTGGTGGCAAAAATCCTGAAGATGAAAGAAAAATACTTCTCTACAGAAACATAAAAAATAAGTCGCAACATCTGGGCCGCTGTGATCCACCGGAAAGAAACCAGTCCCAACCTGAATAAAGTTTAAAAGGGAAAGAGAAAATCACACTGAATTGAATCCAATCTCATAGAGAAAACCCTCGCATTTAGGTCACTTGTACAAAACTCTGATTCCTTCTCAAAGCCCTTCCGTGAGAGGCTAAAGGCCCCGCACACAGTGGACTCACTGCAACTTGAGTCAGTAGCACTTGGTGCTGAGCGGTCCTGGTGTGTCACAGGACTCTGAGCTGGGCACAAAAGCCATCCTCATGGTCTCTACTCTACAGAACCCACTGCCTGAAACTGTTCCTCAGACAGGAGCCTTCGACACAATGGCCTCTTCCACAATGCCCTGTGGCAGTAACTGCTGTGGCCAGCAAGCACTAGACATGTTGAATACCTCTACAAAACAAACAAACAAAATAATAATAAAATAATAAAAAAAAAATAAATCCATTTTTGGGAAAGGCCTCTGGTATATTCCTTCTTAAAAACTCAGCCCCAAGATTGAAACCTGCCACAGAAACCTGTCTTGGCTATGGTTTTCTCGAACCATTATCTAAACGTGGGTTTGGTTCATTTTAGTTTCAGAGAGATGGTTTTACCAAAGAACTCTTGAAAAGTATACTGTTTAGAGAGGGGGAAGGGAAGTAGGAGCTTATGGTATATTATAAGGCTGGGAAAAATCTATGATGCAAACCCTTTCCACATAGTACTAGATAAAGATAAAAGACAATTATACCAGGATAAAAATAACTATGTGTATATCATTTAAGAAAAAAAGAGTGACGGTCTCTTTCTCTTAAATGTGTCTGAGGGCCAATAGCCAGTAATTGTAGATGTCATGGTGCTGATGTGTTCACCGTTGGTTTCCAAAGCATCTTTAAATATTGCTATAGTTCCCCGTTTCCCCCTCCCCCCGACCCGTGTGAGTATGTGAAATACTGGAATGACACATGAACCACCACTTCTCCCAGCAGGAGAAATGAAAACAAAAACACCACACCCCTTAATGGTGCTCAAGCGATCTGTCGGACTAATGGATACATATGCTAGTTTGGAAGCTAAAAGAACACCTGATGTTTTGGGAAGGAATTCCAAGACTAAAGTGAATGACACTTAAGCAAAATATTCTTTCACAAATAGGCTTGTGCTTAAATTCTCTACTGCTCTTGGAGGAGGGGATAAGAGAGGGTGCCTCCAGCCCCTTGGCTTGTTAAGGACATGGACAACCTCATTCCGCAATGAATTCACTACAAACAGCCACATACACATTGATACTTTTGTTTTTGTTTTTTTTCTCAACAGTCAAAATACAAAGTCAAACACAATTGAGCCATTGTTTTGGTTATGCATAATGTGTATGCCTCCAAAAACAGAAGAAAAATAGAAAAAATTACCCTCGCTAAAGGTTCCCCAACAAGTCTTCCAGCAGATCCAATGAAGGTGGCAAGGGAGACTCAGGAAAATAACACTTAGAAAGCTGCCCGATGAGGTATTTATGCAAGAAGAGTGGTTCTGGAGTTAAGAACACACTTTTATATTTCTCTATTTCTCAGAGATCAGAAAAGTAAATCACACACATTGCATTTTATTCTTTTCTAAAAGAGGACTCTGCCCCTTTAGAAAAATGAAATGAGGGGAGACAGCCCACTGTGGGGTTTGAATTGGAAGAAGTCCTCTGCCAGAAAGAGTCCTGAATGTTTACCTCTGCCTTTTAGGAGAGAAGTCTGGATTTTATCATCTTGGGGGTGGGCTGAGGGTGGGGGATTGAGGTGGTGGTCTTTCGGGCTTGGACAGGGGACAACACAGATCAAGGTGTTGTGCAGATTCCATAGCTGTGGATGGCTTTAGGGTGTCAGGGGTTTGGGAGATGGAGGGAACGGAGAGCACTGCAAAAATACATCTTTATTCCCATCCATGTCCTGAACAAAAATGCTGGAAGTATTCAGGTTCGGGTCATGCATTCGACCTGGCGTAGAGGTGTTGATTTTTTTTTTTCAGGCTCTCTCATCAGCAGCGCACAGGAAGGTAAGTATGGGAAATGCACCACTGTTCTGGCTGATGGAGCTTCTGACGTACCTGGTCCTAGCAGATGGGCTCGGCTTTGGCCCATGACTGTCCCTTTTGAAAAAATCAAGGTCGCCTCAGTTCTCTCCCTCTCCCCCCGACCCTCATATCCTGAGCCACAGTAGTGGGTGTTTTTGTTTGTGTTTTAGAGTTTCCCTCCATTTGGATGGAAGGTCATATTCTTCTAGAGATTTCTCTATGGATCCCCCCCCTCCACAATAACAAAAAAAATTTCTTTTTCTTTTTTAGGCAAAGATAACAGGAGTTTCTGGTCTGTGTGACATCATCCGGTTGTCTAAATTCAGCTCTCACAATCTAGGTGGTCTTAATTCCAGGTTAGTTAGTATGCTGAGGTGGTAGCAAAGGCCAGCCTCTCCTTCCTATTGCGAAATGGCGTTGTTGCAACACAATGCCTGGGGCTGGCCTTCCCAACCTGTGTGTCACTTCCTCCTTCACGTGTACCCTATCTCGTACCCTCACCCAATAAGGCCCATTAGCATGTTTCCCCTTCTTCTGGCTAATTTGCATAATTATTCAGTGCCTTTTTCCTAGAACCAAATCACGGTAATGATTTTCTCAAGTAAGCGTCCTGTAATTCTCTTGATTCTATCATACACACTCACTACTAAGTTTGCCCTCAAATTATTGCGTCATGTTAAACATGTACAGACAAAGAGAAAGGACACATTTTTCAACAGAGAATCAGAGGGGGTCGGGGCTGAAGTGCACGCAAGGCGGTACAGAGTTCAACCATCCAAGCCCTACCAGAGCATGAAGATATTTTTATATTGCAGAGTAAGTTCCCCAACAGTCAGAGTTTGTCCCTGAAGAAGGTTAAACCTTAAACACCTGCTTCAAAAAACCAAAACAACCTGAAAGAAAAAAATCAAAAAAAAAACAAAACAAAAACAAAAAAAAAGAAAAAGAAAAAAGAAGGAAAAATGAAGAAAACCAAAAGAACTTCTAAGCCTAAGGGCTTAAAAATTAGAGGCATAGCCTTTTCTCTATTTTCTATATTTATATGAAAATAATTCATGCTTCATGCTAAATACATTATTTACCTTACAAGAACTTTGTTATTTTTGAATAAAAAAAGTTTGTTTTTGTGATTTTTTTTTTTCTTTTTCTTTTTTTTCTTCAAAGGAATCCATGCATTGTGGATCAGAAATTTCTGCTGGCTACACTGGCTGAATGTGGAAATCAATGATTTTCTCAAGGATGAATCCTGACTGATATGAATTGCAAACTCCATTTTGAGGGCAGTAAAGGAGTTACTTTATTTTTTTGCCATGTTTTAATCTTTTTTTGTTTTTTCATCAATGTGCCTTTAATCTTTTAAAAATACACCACAATACTAATGGCAGGTTCCATAGCTTTCTGTTTTTTGTTTTTTTGTTTTTCACTTGGATCAAATAGTTTTGACAGACAGAAAAAGATCGGTACCATTATTTCCTTCCTTAACAGCTACTGTAATTTCCTGAACTTGGTCGCTTTTCACGTGGGCAGTTAAGAAGACATAGCTTGTTTTCTGCATCAGTTTTCTCTTACTGTCCTTTGTGTGGGTGTGTGTACGTGTGTGTGTCTGCATTGTGTGTGTGTGTGCGCACACGTGTGTGTGTGTGTGTGCGCGCGCGCGCACAGGGCCAACCTTCAGGCTTATGGCTTTTGGAACATTTTCTTAATTTAATATCGAACAGAATTCAATGATTAGTGACATCACTAAAAATGTACCCCATTTCTTCTCATTAGTCACTGACACCTGGTACATACAAATGATCCAGTGTCCACCTCACAAGATGATCGATACCAGGCTCCAGGGCTAGGCAGCACAGAGGACCGGTGGCCGGGCCCCCGTGCCCGCTGCATGACAATGCCAAGGGCTTTGCTGGCACGACTGGGTGCCTGGCGCCACAAACTTGGGTCTGCTCCTAGGGGGACGAGGGGTTCTCCCTTCTCCCCAATCGCTTTATGTGCCTTCTCTCAGTGAACCCCACCGGGTGGACATCCTGACTCTGTAAACCTGAGGGTTGGACCTGAACGAGGAGGACTCTGCACACGTACGTGCCTTCTAGGTGCCAGGTGTGTGTTCCTGTGGCACTAACGTTGACATCTGTGGGTTCGGCCACATGCTCTCTGACAAGCTGGAGGAAGCAATGGTAAATTTTGGCTTTTTCAGTTATGTCTTCAGATAATGAAAAGCTTTTGTAAAACAGCTGAGTGTCAATATGAGTTCTATGGCTTCAATCTCCTTTAAAAATAAAATTCTTAAGGGTCCAAAACAAAGGAGAGGGGGGCAAATTAAAAAAAAAAAAGAAAAAGAAAAAAAGGAAAAGAAAGAAAACCAAATCAAATAAAAAAAAATAGAAGAAGAAGAAAAAGAAAAAAGGAAAAAAAAAATTGCTGATATTGCCACAAATCATTAGAAATCTCCTGACATGCTGAAACCAAATGGCCGTAAGTTCAAAACAAATCAGTGACTTGTTTTCAATTTTTTGTGGTTTCCTTTTGCTCTTTCTGCCCCTTTGCCGTCCGATTGGTGATGTTATTCAAACAGGACCGAATCCCTGCCAAGTGCAGGAGTGACCCGGCCGCTTCTTTCATCTCCTCGTCGTCGCTCTCGGGGGGCTTTTCGGTGCGTCTCTTTTTGAGGGGCAGGGTGTCGCTGGGGACCTTCCTGGCCTTGGCGAAGTGCTGGCGCTTCTTGTGCTGGGATGCGTACCCGCTGTCCCCCAGCGCATCCTTGGGCTCCTTCTGGCTGTGTTTCCTGTCGTCCTCTTCCGTCTCGCTGTGGCTCCCGTGGCTCTGGAAGCTGCCCTCGCTGCCCTCCTGGCTCCCCTTGGTGGCGAACTCGTAGTGGTCGTCGGCCGAGGAGGAGGAGGAGGAGGAGGACACGGAGTCACTGGCGGGGGAGGTGCTCCGGGCGTTGGAGGACTTGGCACTGCTGTAGTTGTGATCCTCCTTGGGGTCCCCGCTGACCACCGGGGAGCCGCAGGACGGCTCGCTCTCAGTCCGCATGCGGCAGCTGGTGATGCCATTCCTGCAGGGCGGGGACAGTGGGGGGGAGGGGGGACAAAGAGAGGACACGGTTAGACCCCCTCAGATGCAGGCCCCCACCTGCCTTCAATCCAGCCACTCGCAAACCTCGGGGCAACGGGTGGCTCTGCTTCGAAAGGCAGGATCCTAAATCCTGACACCTTGGGCTTCCCCGCTTAGCTCCTATCTCTGGCGTTTTTCACTCAATTTGTGCGGCTGAGACGTCAAAACAACACTCCTCTGAAGTGACAGCGGTGGCAGCTCAATCTCTTCCATTAAACCATAAAAATCACGCTGGGCCTGCCTCGCGTACCCGCCAACACCACGGAGCCAGACGACGCCGGCTGGATACTTCAGAGGGAAAAGCACGCTCTCTTCTGAAGCTGCTCCATTAGGAGGCTTTTGTCAGAGGGCTCAATCCGGCGCTCAGCAAAAAGATACCCGCCATGTGGTGACAGCTCCTCGCGCACGCATTCCCTCCCTCATTCCTGCGATCTACAAACATTCGCCGAGCGCCTGACAGAAACGCCTGACCTCAGGGAGGGTCCCAGGGGAGGGACGCGGGGTTGGACCGCGTGCACACGCGGCCACAAAGACGCTGCAGCCCGACAAAGAGCCAAGTCACAGTCAGAGAACAGTGAGACGGCAGTTAAGGCACTGTGTCCTGAATTCACCACCCGCCAGGCGCCTGCTAAGTGTGCCCAGGTGATCCTGGGGATGTCACCATCCTTCTTTGATGGTGGCTGAAGTGAGGTCTGGAGAAGTACAGTGACTTACTCCAGGCCCCCACGGTTACTCAGTGGCACAGCGGGGACTGGAACCAAAGTCTGACTCTCAAGCTTGAGCTCCTAGCGTCATCATCATACCGACTCTCCCTGGTGGCTTCCCTGGAACGGGGTGCCCGCTACACATTCCTGTCAGGCCTCTAGAGCGCTCCACATACCTGCTTACTGTGTGTCTTTACATCTGGGCAATGCACTGACCCCCACTTGTGTTGCCTTCTTGGCAAAGTGAATAGCAGCGACACCCACTTCACGGGGGTGTTGGGCTGAGGACTGAGTTAACGGCTGCAGGGGACCGGCATGAAAACGACGGCTGTGATGCTTACTCCCTGTTGGGCCGCACGTTCCTTGTGTCTGGGCAGCAGCCACACACCTGACTGTGCCTGGCACACAGCAGGTGCTCAGAAGACGCACCCGCCCCTCGGAGGGAGGAAAGGGTGACTTTCACCTGGAGAGGCCGGGGAGAGGGCACCAGGGAAAGTTCCATGGAAGATGTGGCACCACCTGGCCTTGGACACGAGGGCTGAAGGATTTGGGCGGGGATGGGAGATGCTCTGTGATACCCCGCTGGTGCCACTTCCTGTAAGAGTCCAGGGAGCACGGCCACCCGTTCCCTGCCTCGATGACCCCGACTATAAGGACTCTGACTTTCCCTCCATAGAGAGCACGTCCCACCATCATCATCAACCGGGTGGTGACTTGCTCAACATCTGTGCTTCCCGCTGGGGTGCCAGCTCCACGAGACAGGGCCCGGTCACTGCTACGTCCCAGGGACTGGCTGGCACTGTGCCAGCACAGTGGACACCCGGCAGACACGCTGAGGGAACTCAGCAGCAGGGGGAACCGTGTGGCAGAGAGTGCGGAGTCTGGGCAGTGACAGTGGATCTCCAGCGCCGTGACTGGCCAGCCCCTCCCTGAGGATGTGGCACTGGCGGGAAGGCTGTGGGGTCGGGACGACCAACGAGACACAGGAGTGAACCCCACCACCACCACCCTGGTGGGCCTCGAGGCTCAGGAGACCTTGGTGGCATCTCACACAAATAAAAGTGATAAGGGAGGAAACAGTCGCTGAGGAAGAGGGCGTAGCAGGGAGTGACAAGAAGGGGTCTCTCTCCCGTGCTTTCGAAGCCTGTGAAACTCTGCTCAGTTTACGCTGGCAGAGAGAATCCTCACTGTAATGTCCACCAGCAGAACGCCTGAAGGCCATTATCACAACTGAACCTTTGCAAGCTGCCCAAGAGCCTCATGCTGACCCCTCCCAGTTGCAAAGTGTGCATGTGAACAATGAGGCCCTCGTGCGTCCCAGAAGGTCCCCGTGAGTGCTCTGTGCTCTGGGATCTCAAATTCGCGACCCTCACAGAGAGAGAGCCTGGTTTTCAAGCCAGACAGACCTGTGCTCGTATCCCAGCGTTGCTTACTGGTGGCTCTGAGCAGGCTGTTCTCCCTCTTGGACCCTCAGCGACCACACCGGGCTGCGTGAGGATGAGCTGGAACGCCCGAGCGCAGAGGAAGGTTCTTAGTGGTGCCTGATGGTGTCTGCTCTACGTGCTGCCGGGTTCCTGCCACTCCCTGCTGCAGGGCTATGCTTACCCTGCTCGGCCTTGTTTTCTCCCCCTATTCTGGGCCAGGAGGCACGCAGAACCCGGCGTAAAGTAAGGGTGAAGAGGCCCCTAAGGAGCAATCCCACAGGCTGCCTGCAAACACAGCCCCCAGCTCTGGGGTGGCCTCCTCCACACCTGTCTACTGCGGACTCCTGTTTCGTGGCCGGGTCTTGGGTGCAAGAAAATGGCTGGAGTGAGATTACTTTGTGGCGTTTCCAAGTATGAAACTTGGCAAACATAATTAATTGTACAGCTAGCTATTCGTGGTTACTAAAGCCAGTGAAAATGAAAGTCTGCTATTACAGTGCTTGTGATCTTTGTTGTATAAGATATAAAAGTGTAAAATGATGTGAAATATAAAAATAATTACTGAACTAGCAGTGAATAGTTTTATAGTGAGCTGTACTTGGATGAGTACACTGGGCTATGTCTGGTTTCTAACAGATCAATTCAGATCTGAATCCTTCTTTTTAAAAATAACTCGGGGCTCATGATTCCCTTTCTCCACGGTAAAGCAGAACAGGAGGCTGTCTGAGCACACACGCGTGTGGGGCGACAGTCACAAGAGCAAGGGAGCGGGTGATGGACATGGCCCCCACTGCCCGGTGTTTGTTCCCAGAGAGCAGGGGTGAAGGGTACGGGACATCTTCTGTGCTTTTCTTTCCTCTTGTTCCATAACTTTGACAAATTTTCAAATAAAAAATTTTGGGGGATGGGGAAAAATGCACTAGCACCAAAGCAATGATATTAAATTTTAGCTCCGTACCATCACAAGAGGAAAAGGTTTTAAGCCTGAGAACTTTTCTCTCTTTCCTAAACGGGGAGACAAGCAGCACTAGAGAGGTGCTAAGAGCATAGCAGATCCAAACTGAAACTTTCTTCTTAAAGAGATCCCATGAATTAAAAGGAGAATAGGAAAGAAAATTATTCCCCAGCCACTGATTGGGTGCCGTGTTGGGCAGAGTCTCTGGTACCACCTAGAACCACATTGCAGAGATTCTGAGACCCACACCTGGGAACCCTGGCCTACACCAACCCTTTTAAAGACAAACAGAAACTCAGAGAGCCCCATGACTTGTCTGAGGTGGCCCAGCTCGTTCTCAAAAATGGTTCGAGCAGAAATTTGAAATATCTCTCTGTCACCCCCCAAAGAAGGAAGTTTACTGTGATGAAGAAAGAAAAATCAATACACCCATCATCAAAATTTCTGGATGAAAACAGATGCACAGACATAACTTCAGGGAGTGAGAATTAGAACATAAACCTATCTCTTACTCACTTGATGAAATCAACTTTCCCTGAGATTTTTAGCATGGGCTTATAATCCACAAATGACAAACAAAACTCAGTGGGAGGGGACAAGCTCCTTCAATTATTAATAACTTGCTGCAATGTTACTTGTGATGGTGCAAGCCAGCCGCACCGACTTGGTGTCCAACGCTCCCCGCTGCAGGGGTTGTCATTACAGGATGCCAAACGCTTAAAAGTAACCAGCCGTCCTGAACATGTTGGAAGGTAAATTTCTAACCACCTCCTCAAAAATCATTCATTAAAACGAACATGTGATACATCTGAAATGCCTGCAATTTTTCAGTTTTAGCTGAATTTACGTGTAATGATAGTCACAATTATCATAAATTATCATAAATTAAAGCCACCTGATTTTACTAGGCCTCTAAAAGTTTAAGGCACATGGCTCAGGCCAGGAGCAGTGGCTCATGCCTATAACCCCAGCACTTTGGGAAGCTGAAGTAGGAGCATTGCTTGAGCCCTGGAGTTCAAGACCAGCCTGGGCAAGAGTGAGATCCTATCTCTACCATGAATGAATGAATGAATGAATGAATGAATAAAAATAATAATTAGCTGGATACAGTGGAATGTGCCTATAGTCCCAGCTACTTGGGAGGCTGAGGCAGGAGGATCACTCGAGCCCACGAGTTGAAGGCTGCAGTGAGCTATGATGATGCCATTGCACTCTAGCTCGGGCAACAGACCGAGGCCCTGTCTCCAAAAAAAACAATGGCTCGACAAAACCACATGCTATTAATCTCAAATAAAAACCTGGTATTCATTCTCTCATCAAATAATGGGAAATACCAAATAGAAAAAGTGAGGAAATCACTTTAGTTCAAGCTGAGAATGAGCAATGCTTTCAACAAACAAGTTAAGGTATAAGCTATGACGTGTCCATTTTGCTGTTTTTTTTTTCCTACCAATTAATTACTTGTTCCATTACAGTAAAATAAGCACATGTCACCTCCACCTCTTATCTGGTGCACTAGGGTTCTCTCTGGAACGAATGGCTTTAAACCTAGAGGCTATCATTTAGGGTAGTCATCCTTTCAAGGGATTTACTTGAGGATTCTGATCTTTTGCCAAATGTAAAAAGCAGATGGAATTAATGGCATTGTAGAAGCAGGGAACTGGAGCGAGTTCAATGCTTCTGTCCAAAACCATGCACAAGTAGAAAGATATACGGAAGAAAAGAGATGACTGGAGGCTTCCACTTTCAGCCAGGTGGCGGGAGACACATTTGGAAGGTACTCTTCTGACTATTAATACCAAAGATTCTAGATAAAGTGCAACAACATATTTTAAAGGCATTGCTACGTTCACTAGAA